TTTGTAAGTTACTTGCATTGATGTTCTGTGTCATTTAAAACTCATCTTCGTTTTGAAAAGAAAACGCGAAGATATGCGGAGCGATATGTACACTACTCGCCCGCACGAGTGTCGGTGGTTGAATGATAGCGCGCTACCCTATCACATAATACCCATCGATTGTAAACAAAGTATCAAGGCCGCGCGCCAGTGTCCCGCTATCTCAAACACAAACGTTTCAACTATATAAACATTCCTATAACAAAAATTAAATATTACGAAGTTATATCTTTCTGTTAGACTTTGTGCACAATAGAGGAAATATTAGAAACAGGAATAAATCAAATTTTGAAAATGAACATTCGTTGAGTAACATTAGTTAATATTAGTAATTAATTAATTAACACTATGAGGTTTTTTTATATTGGCGAGATTATTATATTGTACGTGATGTAAATATTTTATGTAAAAATATAATATTAATAAAAAATAAATGACGTGCGCAAAGCACGCGCTTTGTAACGTTCCCCATAAATAATTTCTAATTTATTATCAGAATTTAGAATAAAAATATGTTTATTATTTCAAGTGTCTATTAGATATTTTTTTAGATTAGATACTTTCTAATTTTGCCTAATATATATATATATATATGAGGATATATATCTAATATGCAAATTAGAAAGTATCTAATCTAAAAATATCATATATATATATATATATTTCTATGAGAACATCTAATAATAAATAGTATATATAAAATATATAATATATGCATTTGTAAAATAATCCATAATTCATTTCAGAATTCAAGATAGAATGTATTTGTATTTTTATGAATCATAAAATTTATTTTTGATAATGTATAATTCGTATCGGGGATTTTAGGATAGAGTGCATTTACAATTCCATATATCTCTATTTTAATGTATATGCGTTTAAATATATTTATTTACATATTAATCAAATATTTTTCATGTTACATCATAAATAAAATTATATTTAAAGTTCTTTATTTGATAAATTTGATGCAAATTATTATTTATCTAAGAGATTAAATGAATGATTACGTGAAACTTATCACAATGTAGCGTCTAACGTTACATGCAGTTTCCTCTATAACGATGAATAATTAATTCTCTATTTTCCAAGACGCATAACAAAGTTATCTTCGATATGCATGAACTTGGATAAAATCCTTGTATTCGTATATGCGAACACTGCAATAAATAAAACATTAGTTCTACACAAAATAATACACTGAAAATATAAGAGGTAGAAGTTGCAAGTCTCTGGTTCAACATCAAAAGAAACTGGAGAATGTGAGTAATACGTATATTTCTCTGTATTTTTTGAAAGTATTAGAAAATTTGTTATAGAAAAATTTTAAAAGCTCAACAACACGAATATTCATCATCATAACAATAAGAGCTATTATCTCTTTATTTCATAAGAAATATATTAAACTATTAAACGAGAGATAGAAGCGGGAGAGATAATACACGCCGTGTATTACACCACTATACGGAATCACTGTCGTTTTAAATAATATCCGTCGTCATAGAGAGTCTCGATGTTATAACCGACGTAGCAAGAGAAAAACGATACCTCGCGCGTTTTCCCGCAGCTTTTCCCATTACAGGGTAATCTCGCGGAAAAGCGAAGCGAGAGATCGCCCTCGTTACCGTGCGCACTGAGAATGGATTTATTCGTTGCTGCTGCTGCTACTGCTGCTGAGAAAGAGAAAGAGAAAAAGAGAAGAACATTCTCCGCCGTCCACTTGCCAGAGATCGTCGACTCCTACCTACAGATGACACAAAGACGAGCGCGAGTGCCTTTGTGCGCCGGAAATCGACACTCGAGGGACGAGCAAACACGCGCGAGCCTATCATTTCATACGCGACGCTTCTTTGTGGCATTTCGCATCTCCTCCTTGGGACAGGGAGGGAAAGAGGACGGCAACACGAGGACGTCAATCCTTTCCTTTAATCTTCCTTCCTTTTCCGTCGGAACGAATGAGATTCGAGGGGAAAAGGACTGATGATGCTCGGCGAGAAATGGAGGAGGAAAAAGGGCGAAGACGAGCACCGAAGTGCTCGAAAGGGATGGAGGAGAGGAGAGGAGAGAGCGCGATTTTCGATCGGGAAAAAGTGGGAGCACTCGATCGTGAAGCCTTGCGAGAGGGTGGTACAATCGGAAGCTCTCCATGTCGCCTCGACTCAAGAAGAGAGAAAGAGAGAGAGAGACAGAGAGAGAGAGAGGAGGAGGAGGGAGAAGAGAGTATTGCTCTCCGTCGGCTTGCGACTCGGTCGTTTCTCGTCGAGCGTA